TCAATTCATCTTTCTATTGTAGCATACTCCAAGTGAGTATTTTTTTCTTTAATTGGCATAATAGATTTTTGACCTATCATAAGCTTAATAGGCATATATTTCATTACTAAACTATTAGTTGTTTGATTAACTTACAATAAAAATGACAACAGTTGAAGCTATTTTCTATCATTTTTATTATAAGTTTTAACTAATGCTTTTACAATTGATAAATGAATACATTCTTTTTTGGTATTTTTTTAAAATTATAAGTAGTAGTCAGTGATAACTTAACTCCATATCTTTCAAAGAGATCATGAGCTTTTTATGCAATTAATTCTCTATGATTTGCAATGATTTTTTTTATACATCCATATAGCAAATTACATCTTCAAGCAAAAATCTACAAATTCATTCTATAGATTTTTTTCTCAATGCTCTACCTTCTACTTGGATTAATAAATCTTCATGAGCCAAAACCAAATATCTCATTTTTCATAAGCCAGTTGATATAATAACCAATCAACAATCTATTTAAAATGAATAGCCAAAAGATATGTTGGATATAGACTATCTTGATGTCATATATTGGAATATGCTTGATAAGTTTCACATGATTTTATAAATAAAATTATATCTTGATGTATATTTTTCACGAATATCATTTTTTAAGTTTAATAAAAAAAAGTACAAATTCTCTTATTTTTTACCTATAAATCATCATAAAATCTATTTATTAATTTTTATTACTCTTCTTTATTTCCTATCACTTGTTATTGCATCTCAATTCCTTATTTTGGCCTCTTCTATAAGAATCATTCTTAAAAAAAATCCATAAACCTTTTTTTTATTTGTTTAATTTTTTTATATACTGTTTATTTATTTATTTAGTCTAATTATTCAAATAATAATCAATATCCAATAATTATCTTTCATAATTTTTTTTAAAAAAGAACTTATCTTTCTTGTTAGGATTTGATAGTAAATAGAATTTGGATCCAATATCATCAATGTCTTCAAGCATCTTGTCTTCTCTTTCATATCTTACTGAAGACAATATGTCTGCCACCAAATTATCTTTTCTAGAAAAATGCCTAAATTTTAGAATTAATGATTTAATATAAGCAATCCATCTTAGCATTTCAATATTTGGTATTTAACAATTAATTATTATTTCAAGTAATGACAAGTAATCTATTTCAATTACTACCAATGTATCAATCAAATAATCTTTTTCAGCTTTTATAGCCAAAACAATTCTCTATAGTTTTCTTTTGATTCACAATTATGCATGTTGATGAATACTTAAAATTTTAGCTCCAAATAAAATTACAAATTTATTTCGACTTGAATCATCTTAATTCACAATCCATCTAATAGCAATAGAATTAGTATTTATAATAAGAATTATTTATCTATTATACTTATAATCAATTCTTCTTAAAATTGGAGGTATCAACAATAACACTTTTAGCTTTTTTATTCTTTCATTCTGCTTTCTTTTATATTTAAATTAAAAATCTTTACCTAATAATTCATATAATAGATTTGCTATATAAAAATAATAAAGAATCTATATACAATAAAATATACAAGTACCTAAAAACTTATGTACTTCTATTAAAGAATTATATATATCCTTTATTATTCTAATTACATCAACTTTGCTTGGATTTGGTTTTCTTTCATAAAATATATACAAATGCACAACAATGACAACTTCTTGCATTTCAAATGTAGATTTTGCTTCAAAAAGTGTAAGATGAACTTCTTTAATTTAAATTAAAATCTTTTCACAATCTTATATATGATCAATAACATACTTGCAACACCCCCTTTCATCTAAAGTTTCATCTTTTTTTTCCTTCTTTGTATCTTTTGATAAGAACATCATCTAAAAAAGACATAGTTTTTTTAAAAATAAAATCTCTCAATACCTTGTTCATTCCATTAGTCAAATATACAATTGAGTTAGTAGTACTTTGTGAAAGAGTACACATTTTAAATAATCCAAGTAATATTCTCATTGTTATTAGATCTCTATTCCTATATGTAAGTTGAAATTGATCATAGTCTAAATATAAATTAGTTATTGATTGTGACTTAGAGTACATAACTCCCAATTTTGCAGGATAAGCAATCTTGTCGATATCCACCAATAATATTGTGCTCAATATTAATTAATATATGTTTTATAATTCCAACCTTTGTACTTCACAATTCATGTTAAAAGCTTTTGGATATTAATTCTCACTAACTCAATTGCAAGTTTACAGACTCACCTAATTTCTCTTCTATGGCCAAAGATTTTTTTGTCTTTATCTTTGTTAGTTTGTTCTTTCTTTTCTTTCCTTTCTATAATAAAGTCATAGTTGAACATAAATTTACTCATTTAAGAAACATAGGTTTTTAAATTTAAACAGTTGCCACTTGTCTATGTTAGTTTGTTTAAGATAATCTTATACATAGATCCAACAAGTAGTTGGGCAGCTCGATGGCTTCAAATAAATATGTGATTAGTTAGATTTTAAATCATTATACTATTCTATTAAAATGACATCATATGCTTGGAGATCCAGTAGAGATGGTTTGATTTATGTTGTATCTGATTCTACAATTTGTTGTTGTGATGCACTTAATTAAATTGTATTAAAGATATTTAGAAGATAATTAATTTTATTTATAAGAGAGGAGATGAAGATATAATACTAATATATTTAAAAATTTGAATATAATTTAGAATATGAAATTGTTGTCTTAAATGGATTATTTGAGCTTGAAGGTATTATCTTTTAGGATAAATACCTAGTTCTATAGTAGTTCAAGATGGATATTGGAAGAAGATTAGGAATAGGGATTTTTGGCATCAAGGATTTTAATTTTGAGGGGGGAGGAGAGGCTGAGGTTGAAAGGAGTGGAAAGGGAGGGTCGCTAGAATTTTAGGGAGGAGGGACAAGATTTAAGTTTGATTTGGAGTTTTGAAGGCCACTTAAAAAATTTTCATCTTTTTATTCTGAAATTTTGAGAGAAGTTATATTGTGTTGTTAGCTTTCCAATAAGCTATAGTATGCAAGAAATAAAGCCATGAGGAGGGAGAACCATGTGAATTTGTGAAAAGGGAGGTCACTAGAGTTTTTGGGTGGCGAGATTCAAGACTGGTTAGAGATTTCTATGCTATTTCTTGTATTTTCTTCTTCTTGATTTGAAATTTTGAGAAAAGCTGAATATTGTTTTTAGCTTTCCAACAAACTATTTCATGCAAAAAATAGAGTTATAATGAAGGAGATCCAAGCAGATTTGTAAGAAGGGGATTGCTAGAGCTTTTCGGGTGGCAAAATTCAAGACTAGTTTGGAACTTTCTATGCCATTTACTGGATTTTCTTCTTTTTATTTTGAGAATTTGGAAGAAGCTAGAGTTCATTGTTAGCTTTTCAACAAGCCTTAACATGCAAGAAGAAGAGCTGTGACAAGGGAGATCCAAGCTAATTTGTAGATGGGGGTTTTGAGGCAGCCACTGCAACAAGCAGCCAATTATTTTCTTTCTTGGTTAACCTCTCATTTTCTCAAGATTTTGTTTATGGACTTTAACAATTTGAAGAAATTATGCTTCTTACAACCCACTTGAAATCAAGGACCATGTGTTCTCTCGAGGAGGCTTGCCCTCTTGACACAGTGGTGATCTGCCCTTCAATTCCTTTAAAGTTGCATTGCTTTAAGTGGCGTGCATTTTAACATTATGATGTAGTAGACTAGTGAACTTCAAGACTTTGGTCAGTGCCTGGCACTTAGTAGGCAGGTATTAGAAGTTAAGAATTGTCTTGTTCAGTTTAGTTTATGTAATCAGCTCCCTCTATTACCTGAAATATGAGTAGGGAAGTTTTTGCCAGAATTCTTGTGAGAGGGTGGGTAATCTGCATACCTTCAGAAAGAAATCAGTTTCCTGCTTGAAACTGAACACGAGATTTAAAAGGAACTTTTCCAGGAGTCAGCTTTGTCTAGGTAAATTTGTTCCTGGTTGCTATGAGTTCACTGTCACTGGTGAATTGTCTGAAGAAATGCAGGTACTTCCAGTTCCTCAATTCCGATTCTTCTGTTTTATTTATATCTTCCTTTGTGCTTGCCGATATTCCCATACATTTGATATTGAGTGGTTAGTTTCATCTTACACTTTTGACCACTTGTGCAGGCTATCTGCGTTGATAATAACATCCGGTATGTGCCACGGTCTTAGGATTGTTATTATCTACATAAGTTTTGGAAGGTCTGGAGAAACTCATTTTCTGACAACCTAAGGCTGTAGTGAATTCTTGATGCGGAGGCAGAAGTGGTGTCACAAGGATGGATATACTGACCAAGATACCATCGTACTAACATGCTTAACAGCATCAGTAATTTTACATTAAAACATGATCCTGACTTTTATTCTGGAGACTGACCTGCACTCAGAAAAGAAAATTTCGTGTGAAGATTTTCACTAAAGCAATTTATTAGAACCAACAAATATTGTTTAACTTTGTACAAGCTGTGCTATGTTTATTTCATGTCAAGTGCTACATCCCAAAATCTGCGTTTATGTGCTTATATGAATATATGTTTTCAAATGGTTCTGTTGTGTGAAGGTTTTTGCTTATTGAAACTTGAGTTTTAAGTATATTAATCGAATAGAGCAATATTCTTTTCCGTGGTTAGTTGCCAAGGTTGACATATTGCATTGAATGCAGTGGGTTGTTTGTGGGAATCTGACACTGGATTTTTGGAGAAATTCACTATTCTTGGCAGAAATTGCTGTGGAATCCACTTGGAATCGGTTGAACTTACAACAACTTTGTGGTTGATAATTTTTTGACATCCTGTCGCACCTGCACTTAATTGGAGTTTATTGTAATTTTTCATGTAACGTATTTAGTATTACACTCAGCGCAGACCATTATTTGTTATAAGGAATGATAAAAAGCATACCGTAAACGTCACGAAATTCTGCAGTAGTTTCACACATCCTATCTGATCTTGTCAGCATCAAATTCAGTCATGAAAGTATTATTTTAATTTAATTTTCCAAAAAAAGGTATTGTTCCCATCTACACACATGGTACACTAATTTAACTGCACGACTAGAAGATGTTGCCGTTGAATTACAAACGACTATTGTGTGAGGGACGACCAACTAAGGAAGATACACTCAAGCTACATGTTCTCAAATTAACATCCACAAATGCACCAAGCGGGACTACTCTATTGTCCCCAATGTGGCCTATTGGAAGGCCAGACAATACAGGAAGATCTGGTGGCAAACGCATCTGTTCAAGCCAGAACCACTTCTCCACCGTCTCTTGTGTAACCATTTTGTTTGCGCAGGCTGCAAAGACACATACATCGGAATCAATATTGTTTTTGAAGACTCCTTTCCCTTATCACTTAAGCAACGTAAACTACGGGCTGGGGTTGAGATAATATACGTGTGAGTTATAACTGACATTGATGATCAGCTCCCTACTGCTCACGCTTTCCCATTCAAGAAGAAGACTGACTATTGGAAAATTAGAATGTCATCACTTACACCAGTGCAGTTAATAAGTACTTGTCCTTTTGTTATAAATCAGAAATCTCCACAAATGTTGAATATTTTGAGCAGGGTGCATAAATTAAGCTTGAAGCATAGGCGAAAAATTAAGTATACCTAGTTCTTCATAATTCCTCCGCAATGCATCACCAAAATCTCCAAGAACGAGAGCTTCTATTTTTTTAAGCACCTCCTGGTCGGGAGACACTGATTTTAAATGAGTGAACATGCGATCCACACTATAAGGCGCCTCATGAACTGCAAAAAATTCAGTAAACTATGTTCTGTTAGAGAGAAGTGCTCAGAAATATAAGCTCATTCAAAAAGTAAAAGTAACCAGTACCAATGCCATAAATCATTCCAAAAGAGTAGAATGGGTAATACATAAGAATAAATTCAACACATCAATTTATTTACATGACTGAAGAAAAAGAAAGCTATGAAAAGTCCACATGATATCGCTCATCAAGATGGACTTTGAACATCGCGAGAATGAGATCAGTCTTTCGACGTGAGGTGCATGGGCAGAAGGAATATCACATGATTGTTCACACTTGCACCCTAATGCTATCTATTAATTACAAACTAGTAAATCTACAGCACATCCAGAAGCCATCATTCGCTCTAAAGCAACTTAATTAAATCTATTATTGGAGGGAGAACTGGTGAAGGGCTAGAATAAAGGATAATAAACCATCTTCTAGGATCAGAATGCAGCGCTCCATATCTTCCTGCCAAGGAGTTGCAAGACAATTAGTGAAGACAGTCAGATTTCCCCCAACGAGGCGCCCACTCACAACACCATTTGTGGACCTTGCGCGTCCCATCTGTAAACATCGCCCCTGCATCAAGGACGTTTCCTAGTAAACAAGGGCTTTTGAACTAATTTTTACTGCTGAAGTGGAAGTTAGCATGGACAGACGCATTGAAACTATGCGCGCCCTTCCTAACAGCTTGAAGTTTATGACCTTAAAAAAAATCCCATGTTCTAACTTCGAAGTACCTTGAGTGGCGGACAAGCAGATTGAAGATTAGGAGCAAACATAGATAAACGTAACGACTCTCGGCTTAGCTCCGTGCTCTTTGCAAAATAAGATGTTGCAAGCATTGGTGCGTAGAAGCTCACATATCCTGGTACCGCTACTCTCATCAAGCTGCAAACAACTTCACATTAATTATGAATAGGACGCTTTTCTACTGAAGCACGTGGGAAATATGCAAAATGCCCATTTCCTCGCTAGTAGAAGAAGCACAATTTCCAAAATCAATTAGAACAGCGATGAGAAAACATAAGAGCAATAATGATTATAATAATAACAATGAAGGTTCAGGATAGTCAGTGGTTGGACTCATCATTGATGTAGAAAACAGTCACGAGAACAGAAACAAAACCAACAATTTTCATTTCGTGATGTTTTAAACGCATGTATTAATGAAGTATTTGAAGAAATTGCAGTTAAATCTCGAGTCGCCCGTAGCGAAACCTAACAACGTCACACCTATATGATTTGAGTTGAGAACGAGGTGGAGAAACACGAAGGCAGTAAAACAAAACAACGAAGATTCATGCTGTTCCGTACCTATGCAAGGCAGTAATATCTGAGAATCCAAAGAAGCGTTTAGAGGGAAGGTTGTGAGCACCAATTCTAGAGATCGGCAACAATTCTAGTAATCTTGTACAGCCATATCCACCTTGGGCACACACCACGGCTGCAATACTGGGATCATCAAGCACCCCAACCAGTGCATCAGCTCGCTCTTCATCGGAGCCCGCGAGGTACCCTTGCTTTGACCACACTTGTGGGTGCACCACCGGCACTAAATCCCTTCTCAAATCACCACTAGCTCATGTCAGAGGACAAGATTGACGTGCAACGCGAAAATTTGAACTTCATTTCAGAGCAGTGTATCAAAATTAAACCTATCACAATGCATGATGACAACCCTTGAAAATATTTTCAGAGTTGCTCACCAATTACAGAATCAAGCGCAGAAAGCATTCAGAAAAAATAATGATACTAATAATAATAATAACAATACTATAGAAAACCTATTCATCGGAGAAGGAGAATAACCAAGATCTTAGTACAGCAATGCCGGCTTCGAGAAGATCCACTGAGACAGGGCTGGCAGGCGCGATGATAGCCACCCGGTCTCCTGCTTTCACCGCGGGAGCTACAATCCACTCCATTGCAAAATCCCTCGAAACTCTGAAAGCTAGGGAATCGCATGCTCATTCTCAGCAAAGCGTGAGGAGAATCGACAAATCGAGCACCATTTGTGGGAAACGACGGCGACGACGAAGGGCCGATCCTGTTGAGGGAAGAACTGGATGGACGTGATTGTTGTCACAGTCAAGAGTGCAATCTATTCTTTGACAACAAGTTTTGAGCTTGGTAAAAGAAAGAAAGTTTTTTTTTTTTTTTTTTTTTTTTTTATATATATATAATTGTATTAATTTCTAAACTTATTTTAAAATAAATAAATAAAATTTTATGTTTAAAATGTCTTGAAAAGCCAAGAAGAGTTGTAGAAAATAAAATCATCCAAAATTTACAAATATTTTGTAGAATAGTAGTAGTTTTACATGATAAGCTCATAGAAGTTTACTTTTTCATAGTCAAATCTTTAAAATCATTCAACAAATTTGTTTTTTCTTAATACTAGAGGAGATTTAAGATATTTTATCTACAAATAAATAATCTATTTAATTAATAAGTTAATGTTGAATGTATATTATTGCATGCAAGAAACTACACATAAATATGTGAAATAACACTAATAAAATCTGACAACAAACATTTTTAGTCTTGTCTTTAGTACAACTTTGAAAACAACATCAAAGTTGATTAAACTTTTAGCCTAATTTTGTTTAATTATTAGAAATCTAGATACAATTGAGCTCCATTCTCTCTTGCTATTCTTCTATTATAATATTACACTATTTAATATCATTCATCTATTTATCTTCAAAAATTATATTTAGTACAAAAGTTAACAATCCACAAAATCAAATGAAGATTCAAGGATATTAGGCTTTGCTATTCAAGTTTTTTAATGTACCTTAGATGAACTTAACAATTATCAAATTGTATACAAGTAATCAAAACATTCAATTTGAAGAAACTTTAAAATAAAATTTAACAAAATATTTTCTAATTTTAAATACAAATAGACGATTATTTATAATATTTCCAATGATTATATAATATTTTTAGTTATTTTGCAGTCACCCTACACAGACCCGAGCCTTCGATTGTTTGAGAATTTGTGTGGTTGTGTAGTTTTTCGCAGATCGGATCAGCAGTGTAGAAGATCAACAGGAGGTGTGCTTCAGTGATTTTGTCTTTATGAGGAACTCGGTTGTGCTCGAGTCCTGAGTCATTGCACGCCGCAATCGCGCAGGATGAGAGAGGTTATATCTGCGACAGATTATCGATTGTTGAAAAGCAGTACTGAATTCTGGATTGGTCATATATCACGATTGATGACTCAATTCTACTCCTCTCCTATTGACTTTAAGGATTTGACTTCAGCTTATATAGATATTAACATGGACGTTTTTCGGCAGATTGGATGATTAGGGATGCCAAGATGGCCGTCGTTCTGTGGTTCTATGCAATTTCTGCATTTTGCTGTCAAGTGACGCTTGAGATGGTTGCTTCTATTCATTGAGAGACCGTAAATGCACTTTAAGACACTACAATTTGCCGATTCAATGGCGGTATGGTGTTATCTGTAAACATGGTGATTTGTAAAGGATTATTATCATATCATAGAATATCTGTGACAGTGTTGCTGTTCTGATGCCTGAAATCGACTTCCAAGCTCCATGAATTGTTTCGACGCTATGATGCGACTTCAGTACACGGATTGAACATCGGATCTATGCTACATTGCCATGCACAGAACTGCAAATAGGTGACATTTGCTAGTTCATTCAGGGTGGAAACCTCTTATGTTTGGTTTGCCGATCAGCTGCGGAAGTCATAAAGAGGACTTTTATTACTTCAATGACTCTACTGTCCAAATTGGGAACATCATGGAAAGCATCAAGCAAAAACAGCGAACCTGAAACCTTAGACCAAATATATATCCTACGTTCAGCTTCAATTAATGTCCTTCTCTAGTTTTATAGTATCAAACGCCAATTTCCGACAAAAAAAAAAAAAAAAAAAAAAAAAAAAACACACACACATAGTTCGACTGCAATGCCGACATCCTATTGTAACGTATCTTAGGCTGATTTGTTGTCTTTCATCTTGCAGAGTGTTCAAGGTTGGTTAGCGAAGTTGGACACACAAGGTAACTCGTACAATTAGATGATTTGAGAAGCATTCATTCTTCCGATGCATGTGTACTCAAGATCACTAGGCCATCTCAGGGGGATTGAGCGAGCAGTTTTGCATTAAAACAGATTTCATCGACGCGTGCCCCGATCGATGCGTGAGCTGATAGGTTAACACGGTGAGATTCTGAGAATATTATTTTTACTGATGCATGTTTGTCGCTCAGAATAGGTAGAGAATTATCGCAGTTGTCATTTTTTGATTAAAATACAAATATGCCCTCTTGGTTTGCATGAATGCAGACAAAAGGTTAAGGTTTATTCTCATACCTAAAGGGAAATTCTTTGTGATATGTTGAAATCATTAAATGTAGCTTGCGCTCTCCATAATATTTACTATAGACTAGAATAAATACTGTAGCTACAATATTTAGAGTCTAGTGGAGAAGTACTAGTTATCCTCTCCTCTTTTCTCTTCTTGTATACTAGACACAACCAGATGAATAGATTTTTATGTGTGAAGCTCTCTCTCCTTAGAAACCCTCTTATGTGTATGACTTATTACTACTCTTGTGTATGTATGACTTACTATTACTCTTGTGTCTTTCTAAACATTCTCAACACGTTATCAGCATGACTCTCTTCTACACACTATCACAATTTTTTGCTCTAGTCTTTGACTCTTCAAACGTGTTGCTACCCTTGTTCAGTGTCTACCTCATGATCTTGTTCTTCTTACTGCTTGCTTAGAGCACTTGTTCCACTCTCTGCCCTGCTTGTTTAGAATACTTGATCTAGCCCAACTCCACCTCAGCTTGCTCTGTGCTCCCTACTACCAAACTGTCGTGCTTGCCGTCGAATTGTCGCTGAACCAGCCATTGCCCCCTCTGGCGTTGCCACTCGCCGCTGTCGCCATCCTAATGCTGTTGCCCCTGTCTCCGTCACCGTCTTAATGTTGCCGCTGTCGCCGCCCGTCGTTGCTGTCCATTATTGCCACCCATCGCTGCCTACCACTGCCACCCTGTCGCCCTACCGCCCTACCGCTGCCTGCTGCTGCCATCTTATTGCTGTTCTACTCTTTTAATCTACAATCTCCTTTAAAAAAAATAAATAAATAAAAAAATTATATATTTTTATTTTTTCAAGTTCAAGTTTATCATTTTATTTGACTTTATATTTTAAGGTACGTTTTACTCAACTTTTCTACTTGATCTTGTATTTTCTTTACAAATTTATTTATAATGAGTGCTTCAACTGCTTCTACTATGGTTCCAACTATTATAAGTGCATCCCAACATTTTCAAGCTCTTTTATTTCCACCATTGACTATGGATGGAAACAATTATCTATTATGGGCAAAAATGGCAAAAACAAATTTATTTGCAAAACAACTCTCGGATGCCATTATGTTTGAAGAATCTCCTACAATAAGTATTTCTATACCTCGTGCTATTTATTGGAAAGTACTTCTTTTCCTTCGTCGTCATCTTGTACCTGCATTACAACATCAATATTTGGAAATGGAAGATCCTACAAAACTTTTGAAGAATCTTAAATCTAGGTTTGATCATCAAAAGACCATTTTTCTTCCACGTGCACGTCATAATTGGACACATTTAAGTGTCTTGGATTTTCCAAATTTAAATGCTTTCAATAGTGAAATATATAGTATTGTCTCACAATTACGATTATGTGGACAAAGTATTTCTGAAGAAGAAATGATTGAGAAAACTCTCTCCATATTTCCTCCTGTATTTGTTGTGCTTGCACAACAATACAAGAACATGAAATTTCAGAGTCATTCTGATCTCATGTCCTATCTATTTCTTCCGGAGAAGCAAAATGAACTACTCTTGCACAATGCGAAAGCTCGTCCTATTGGAACTACAGTTCCAGAATCTCATGTACTTAATATTTCAAAGTCTAAGAAGAAATTATATAAACATGGGAAACATGCTCATAAGTGTCAGGGTAGTCATAGTCAAGACTATTTCTACCCATATAGAAAGAATAAACTTTCTACTATTAATTATAGTAGAAAATAAAAATCAGAGATGCATTCTTGCCATAAGTGTGGAATGATTGGACATTTAGTACATGCGTGCCGTACTTCATAATATTTTATTAAAATATTCTAAGAAAATAAGAAATTACAAACTGAGGCTCGTGAAGTTCATACTATGGATACATCCATAGATTCAATTGGTGTTGATGACTTAGAGGCTTATATGAATTGTAAAACCTCTAATGATGAATCAAATGATGCGTTCATTGATTTTGCAACAACACATACTATCTTACGAGATAGATGATTTTTTATTGAAAAATCTTCAACTTGGCAAACTAAAAATATGATGACCATGCTTGGAGCAAATGCGTTTTGTTTCCAAGAGGGCATAGCGATGGTAAAATTACCTGCGGGTTCTATCATAAAATGAAAACATGTGATGTTTGCACCCTCAGCACCTCGGAGTTTGATCAACTACCGAGATGTGTGTATTAATGGTTATCACCTCTCGATCACCACTTTAAATAGAAAAGAGGTTTTGATTCTTGCGAAGAACCATAAAGTTGTTGAAAAAGCTTTTGCTACAGAAAATGGTTTATTTCCCATTATATTTAATTTTGCATCATCTATCTCAGAGAGTCGTGTTTCTGTCTAGCATGGACGATTGGGACATCCATGATCCATATTATTTAGAAAGATCATTCCATGTATAACTTGGCACAATTTAAAGCCTGCAGATGTAGACTCTATGGAATTATGTCATACATGCATGCAAGGTAAAATGATTACTTGGCCTTCAATTTGGAAACTTTCACAAGAATTACCACCAATGCTTGAAAGATTGCATGGTGATATTTGTGGTCCTATTAATCCAATATCAGGACCATTTTGTTATTTTTTGGTCCTTGTTGATGCATCAGGTAAATAATCATATGTTTTATTATTATTAATTTGAAACATGGTGTTTGCCAATCTTATATCTATGCTTATTCACTTGCAGGCAGATTTTCCTGATTATCCTATAAAAACATTGCATATGGAT